ATTGGAAGCCCCCTTCCCACCTTCTGGAGTCGCCCCACCTCTTTCGGACCACTCCCAAAGTCGCCATACAACGTACTAAGGCATAGTTTTGAGGCCTTTCAGCGGGGTTCAAAGCCTTTAGGGGTCTTCTTTTAAGCGATTACCCCCCCTCCCTCGGGGCTTAATTTGCAGCCAGGGGTAATGATCCAGACTCCCACCGTACCCCTCGACCTCTCTCGCCCTTAATCCTCACCGTGGCGAGGTCTTGCTCGAGAGCTCCGTGCCACAGAACATCGTCATCGATGACAACTCGTGCGTGCTGGACCCGCGCGCGGGGGCCAGACGACGACGATGGCGATGACCCCAGTCATCTACTCAGCTTCTTCCACCTGCTCCTCCCCCTCCACATCCTCACCCTCGTCCTCTCCATCCTCGTCCTCCCCCTCTCCCCTCCGCATTCCCCCCACAGTTCTTTGCGTCTAAGGAGGGCGCCCACTCCATCTGAGGCAAGCGTCTCCTTCCGTCTTGCCCTCCTCATGGTCCTCCTCCTCATTATCCTGCTCCTTGCACTGGTGCGCGCTCCCTCCTCCTCATCCTCCACCTCCTCCTCATCCCCCTTCTCCTCCTCCTCCCACCCTCCTCCTCCTACTCCTCCTCTTCCTCCTCCTCCTCCTCCTTTCTCCTCCTCCTCCTCCTCCCCCTCCTTCTAGTGACAGTTCTCCCCTTCGTCGATCTCCTCCTCCGCCTCCTTCTTTATCTTCCTCTTCCTCCGCCGCCTCAGGAGCGCAAGGAGGCCAAGATCCAGCTGGCAATCGTTGACACGAAGGCCGCCTTGTCTCAGTTGCTCCAGAAGTTTAGCCGCACGAAGTTTTCAATCCACTACTTCTCTTCTCCTAAGCAGTCGGTTTCCAAAATCACGACCACGGCCAAGTACGATAAAGGCTGTCTGGTGCTGGTCCCATGGTCGCCAACTGTGAGCGCTGGCATCAAAGTTCCCTCAAATTCGATAGAGATCCCAGTCGTCGGCCTCGGTGACACCAAGATCTACATAAGCCCCCCAAAGGTCGATCTGCCCAAGGTCCCGCCCAAAAAAGGTGATCATGGTATGTGCGTGCCCTTCTGGTTCGTCCCCACGGCTGAGGCCCCGAGCATGACGTGGAGCTCGCTGCCCGTGCTGCTTAAGTTCTCGTTCGCTACTGATTCTGAGCCGACTGAGCGTATTATTTCGGTGCCCGTGCTCACTAACAAGGCAGCGATCCCCGAGGGTGGGCTCGTAACGAAGGGCGGGGGGGCTGCAACGCCAGCCCCTGCGCCGAAGGCAATGGCGAAGGTCTTGTCAAGAAAGCTTTGACCAGTTCGTGCCATCAATCTCTCACCCCCTCCTCCCCGATAATATGATGAGATGGTGTTACGTTGCTCCTGCAGGGAACCCCCGAACACTTGTGGCCTTCTCTCTTTGTAAGCTGTTTCTGTTTACCTCGAGCTGTGGCGCGATGTACCGCTGAGGAGTGCCCCCTGACGCCTCAGCCACGGTGCGTTCGAAAATGCGCCTGGGTTGCGCGGTGGTCGAGACACGGATTGACCACCGTTCAGGGACCGATGGGGGCAGGCGCAGGGGGAGAAGGAGGAGGAGGGAGGAGGAGGAGGAGGAGCAGGAGGAGGAGGAGGAGGGACGAGAAGGAGCAGGAATAAGAACCATGAGTAGGAGGAGGGGGAGGGCGAGGAGGATGACGATAACGAGGATGAGGAGGACGACGACGAGGCAAATGATGACTGCTGAAGGTGAGGAGGGGGGGGGCACGCCAGGACTTGAGGGGGAGGGCGGTGGGAGGGACGAGGGAGAGAGGGAGAGAGACGCCGCCGCCTGTAACGTCGTCTTCGTCGTCGCCTTCGCCCCCCCTGCTCACTGCGCCCCGACGTGGACTGCACGCTCGTGAAGCAGGCGCCGCCCCGCCCTCCCGTGCCCCGCTGCCAGCCAGCAAGACAACAATGATGGGGTGGGGCTCACGAGTCGTTCATCCCTCCCCCTTCTTAATCCTCGTTCGGAACTGTGGAAGACCGCCCCACTCCTCGTTCAAGCACCCCACCTCGCCACAATGAAACCACACCCCTTCCAATAGTATTATTCCCCGTCCTCCTCCGCCTCCGTAGCCATTTGGGCTCGCGTCCGAGTGCTGCAACGGCCGATTGCTTGCCCGCTTCAATTCCACCCTAGCCAGGATGGTTAGCATTGTGGAGGGCTTCGTTGAGGTCTCGCTCTCGGACCGTCCTGGCCCAGGCAACGCGTGGTACGCGAAGGTGGTCCACTCGAACGGGGAGCGGTTCGTGGTCTGCGATAAGCAGAACAAAAAATTCAGGCAGTTTGTCAAGGACTGTTACGACATGTTGGACGAGCTCGTCAGGCTTCGTGAGGTCGCAACCGAGAAGTTGCTTGAGGCGGCGTTCGCTGCTGCGGACCCGCTGGGTGACGCCCGGCATCCAGGAGTTGACGGTGGGGCCGCCAAGCGTCCTCGTAAGGAGATGGTCGACGACGTCGAGAAGATCGTGCAGTTGGAAGTGCCGCTCGAGGACGGTAGCATCCACCACGTCAAGGTTATGGTCAGCGCGATCCCGAGGGGCAAGCTCGCGATCCAGCTTAACCAGGACAACATGCTTCTCTTGCTGAAGACGCCAAAGCATGAGCCTGCCGAAATGCCAATAGTAGATCCAGTCATCAACAGCCAGGTGGTCAAGTGGTCGAGGTACCGCAGCTCCGTGGTCACGCACTACTTCGACGCTGGCTCAATGACGTGGAAACAGAAATCGATGAAAGTCAAAGCCACGCCCATCCGAGCCGACTTCGATCAGCAGGTTGCGAAGCTGGTCGTGGTCCTCGAGACGTTCCATCGGGAGCATCATGCCGCGTCTTTGTTCGACCAGCAGCACTAAGTTGCCTGAAAACCACGGGAGTGACCTAGTAGCGAGCTTCGCCAGCATGGGGCGCTGGCGCTCTCAGGGCGCACTAGGGCAGCCTCTTGTTTAATTCGTGTTCGCCTTCTGCGAACAGCATGTGGCGGGTCGCTCGGTGCCGCGGGGTGTGCGCTGGCGATACAATCTACCGATCAGTCGTTGCACTCCTTCGAAAACAGAGCAAGGGGCCCTCGTGGTGCCGACTCGCCGCGATGACAAACCAGCTATGTGTTGCCTGCCTTGTCGGCTGCATTTGGTCCGCGTGAGTTCGAAGTCAGGTCTCGCCGACGGCGAGGTGAATTGGTGCGAACTTCCAGATGGAAGGTCGCACCTCTGGCGCCAACTTCCAGATGGAAGTTCGCACCTCTGGCGCCACCTTCCAGATGGAGGTTGGCGCAACGGTGCGAACTTCCAGATGGAAGCTCGCACCAGAGGCGCGAACTTCCAGATGGAAGTTCGCGCAAGTCGTTTTCTGCCTACTGTATCGAAGAAGCTCAGCGGTGCGACCTTCCAGATGGAAGGTCGCACCTCTGGCGCCAACTTCCAGATGGCAGTTCGAACCGTTGCGCCAACTTCCAGATGGAAGTCGGCGCCAGAGGTGCGAACTTCCAGATGGAAGTTCGCACCAAGTGGTTCTCGGCTTGGTCGGAGCTTCTCGAGCTTGCATTCGGCAGCCGTTCGTTTGGAAGGTAAGGCTCAGCCTCACGAATGGAAGCATTGGCCCCTCTCGTCTAGCCCCACGGTGAGTGAATGCCAAGAGCCATGACGGTACAGGATGCACCACGTGAGCTCAGACCCCAAACAGCTGTGGCCCCCCTTTGCACCGTCGTCCGTAGCTGTATGTCGGCTCAAAGCTGGTTTGCGGGCCTGTCTTTCGGGTTGCCGACCTTGCCCAACCAATGGCTGCCCCGCCTGCAGGTAGCACAGATGTGTCATCGATGCTCATTCGCATGGTGAGGCAGCGCGTCGCATTTATCGGCGCCCAGTCGGCTGCTGGACTGAGCAGGGATGGGCTCCTAGCGTCTCAGACGCAATCTCTGTGCGCAACGTTTGCGACAACTGTTGGTATCAGCATTACCGTGGCGACGGACGTCTCTGCCGAAATCGCCGGTGGCCCCTGGTCCGATGAGCAGAAGCAGCGCCTCGCTACATCCCTGAGTGCTGCCGCCGCTGCCAGCGCTCAAGTGGGTGGGCCGAGACTGCCCAGGCCCGTGCAGTATTGCGACGCCTTGGAACACTTTCTCACGCAGGAGGACTGGGACGTCATATGTGATCCAGCGCGGTCAAAGGGCCCTAAGGTGACAGTCCTCGCCACGAGGATGTGGCGCCTAGGTCTAACGTGTCCGAGTGAGGATCTCCTCAAGAGGGCTGTCGCGATTATCTGTTGCAAGGGGGAGCTGGGGGCCTTGAATTTCCAGAACAAGAAGGCCATGGCGGCGGACATCCAGAAGGAGATCAAGGACATGAATGTCTTGAATGCGTGGCCCTTCGCTCACATGCGGAGGTACCCCTTGCTCCCGATTGACCTCGCCGACGACGCCAGGAACTTTGCGTACGATGGCACTGCGGGTCCAATCACTGCGCCCAGCTTGGGCCCACATGCGCTCCAGTTGATGGCGAAGTCGGTGCCTACCAGGGACACCCACAAGGGCTTGCAGAGGGAGATCGCAACTGAGGGGGGCGGAGCTAGCAGCGCAGACGCGCTGCAGCTTACTTCTGGGTTCGACCGCAGGCAGCCCCAGAGAGGCGTGCAGCTTGACATGCAGAGTCAGATGCTAGCCATGGGCCAGTTCATGCAGCAGATGTTTGCCCAGTTCGGCCCCAAGGGTATCGGTGGCAACGTGACAGTATTCGACACGCCGCGGAGAAATGCTGACTCCCCAATGTCGGCGTGTGGGAGCTCCGAATCCTTGGTTGGATCACCTCCAGCATCGGTCCTCAGTTCAGCACCTGCCAGCGCGCCTCTTCCAGCACTTCCTGATGGTCCTGCTGTCGCGGCCGCAAGCCTTCCTCAACCTGTTCCTGATTCTCATGCTGAGGCTGCTGCGGCAGTGAAGCTGCTGGAGGCCAGCATGGCGAACGCGGCGCATGCGGCTGGCAGCGCTTTGCAGGAGAAGGAGGACAAGAAGAAGGCCAAGGAGGAGACCAAGCTCCTCAAGGCTGCAGCTGCTAAGGCCAAGGCCTCGCCCGCGCCCAAAGGCAAGGCGAAGGCCAAGGCCAAAGGCAAAGCAGCTGCTCCCGTTCCGAAGACGTCCCTGCCAGTCAAGAAGTCCATCGGCAAGCACGCCACATACGGTGGATCGGGCATGCAACACCAACCACACCTCAGTGTTGTCGATGTCGTCCACATCGTTCTCGTCTCTCTGCCAACTCACGTTTTGTGAAAGCACGGTTTGCCATTCTCACTCCTCCTCATCCTCCTGCTCCTCCCGTTCCTCCTCCTCCTACCCCCTCCTACTCATCCTCATCCTCCTCATCCTCCTCCCCCCTCCTCCTCCCCCTCCTTCTCCTCCTCCCCCGCCTCCCCCCTCTTCCTCCCCCTCCTTATCCTCCTTCTCCTCCTTCTCCTCCTCCTCCTCCTCCTCCTGTTCGCCCTCCTCACAACAGATCGTTCTCCTCCAGTCCTTGGCGCTCCTCTCCCCCCAGCGCCCCGCCCGTCCCTCAGGCAAGGTCGACTTCAGCGACCTTCTGAAGGTGGCCGACTGCGAGGGGCGAACCGAGAACCAATACCCGTCGCGCGCCTACTCGACCGCCAAAGCCAGGGCCGCGAAAGTTTACACCGTCGACCAGGCCACTGATGTTGCTAGAGCTGCTTATGGTCAGGCCAAAGAGGTCTGGAGGAAGTGGGCTGGGAAGCCCATGTAGGGGTATTTCCTGGGGTGTCCAATGCATGCTCTGCCTAGGAGTTTCGGGGGTAGGCACTGTTGGGACTACTGCTAAGAGACGTCGCTCGCTTGGGGGATAGTTGGCACTCAGTCTCTCCGCGCAGTGAAGTACGCTCTGTTTGTCAGCGCGTGGCAGCAGCAACATGTTAGCGGGCATGGCCCCACATGATCGCACTTGGAAATTCACGCCTCGCTCATATCATCCTAATCCGTCTGTTTCGTTTTGGCATCCTCCTCCTACTCTCTCTCGCCTTCTTTCTTTTTTCTCGCTCTCTCTCTCTCTCTCTCTCTCTCTCTCTCGTTATTTCTCCCCCTATCGTCCTTATGCGTAGCTCTGGTGCACATCTTCGTAATCCCCCAACCCTGCCAGAACAATTGTGAATGCGCCTTCGGAGGCCAGAAGATATCTCCCCCCCCCCCCCCCCCCCCCCCCACAGTCAGCCAGAGTCATTTGTAGCCTGGAACCGCCAATCCCGTCGAGCTGGGGGGGAACTGGCAGAGGGCAAGCTATGCTATGCGCATTGGGGAGGACATATAGAGCTGAGGGGAGGGTGAGGGAGGAGGGAGGGAGATGGCCACGAGAAGGACGATCACGATGATTACATGATGTGGTGATGACGGCGAGTCGATGCAAGCGGTCTGTCCAGTAGCATGGTTGCGGGGTGTGTTTTAGACAGCATTAGAGGGTATTATTGTTTTTAGTGTAGAACGGGGGGGATCTGCGCTCTCGGTCAAGACCGCAAGGGTACCAGAACAGCTACGGGGGGCGGGTGCGTAACCATTTTGGCTCGAACTGTTCAGCTTGCGCATGGCTCCAGACACAAAGAAAATTCGCATCACCGATTACGGCCAGGAGGCACATGTGTCAGCTAGCGCATTGTCACATCTACTCGAGCAGGTTCGGAGGTATGGACTTCCAGAGCATTCATCCAGGGCCACCTTGCAGCGTGCCCGACACAAAGAGGCCCAAAGGAGCACGTCGTTCGGACCTCTTCTCGTGAAGCAAACGTTTCCTTCAAGCTGCGGAGGCAGCGTAGATCTCTGGTTTCAACACCCCCTCGGATGGTTGGAAGTTGCGTGCCGCGGGAGCGTTTCCTTTGGGCGTCTGCTTCGCCAGACTCTCGACGCGCACGGCAACAAGCTGTCCGTCATTGCGTACACAGACGAGATCACGCCAGGCAATCCGCTGGCAGAGAAGAACCAACGGCGCATTGAATCATTCTACTGGTCAGTACGTGAATTCGGATTTCCAGCACTATGCCACGAAGAGTGCTGGTTCGTGGTCACTGGGGCGCGCTCCACCATAGTGAACAAACTTCAAGGTGGCATGGCAGAGTTGATGAAACACTGCCTCAAGCTTTTCTTCGGACGGCCAGATCAAGCTGACCTCAGGAGTGGGGTCCATCTGGACATTGGCGAAGATAACCCTCGATTTGTGGTCGGCTCTCTTTCGATAGTCGTGCAAGATGAAAGGGCACACAAATTTGGATTCGCGGCGAAAGGCGTGGCAGGACACAAACTGCGCGCTTTGTGTCAGAACGCTTGCTCCTACTGGAGCCACCTGCTCCCCGACAGCACTGGCTTCCTTGCTTCTAGCGACGAGGTCGACATCACAAAGTTCAGGCCTCACACTCATGCTAGTATCACTGGTATACAGATGCGCCTGAAGCAATTGGCAGAGGCAGGAGACAAGCAGGAGCTTGATAACAAGCAAGTGCTATTCGGATTTCTGTATTGCCCCACTGGTGTACTCCAGGACCGCGACCTCGACGTCAACTTAGCAGATGTATGGGCGTGGGATTGGTTACACACTTACTTCCAAGGCGGTGTGTTTACTGTGGAGGCAAGAGCATTGTTTACCCGCCTGGCGCCATATCGATTGGGTGGTAAAGAGTTCAGCGAGTACCTCTCTCATTGGGTGTGGCCCAAAGGCTATGCATCAGGCGCCAACGTGTGCTCGAAAAGGAATGACTTCCTTCCGAGTGGGAACGCCAGTGAGCAACAGTCGTGCGCCCCTGTCATTGAACAATTCTTGGTCTCTGTAGTCGGACCTGCAGGCTTCTGCGAGAAAGAAGTGGCAAGCGGCATTTCGTTGTGCATTGTTTCTCGTCTCCTCTCTTTGGTCAATACAGGAGTTGTCAGCGCTGCAGCTCTCGGAGCTGCAATTTCGACGCATCTGGTGAACTTGAAAGCAGCCTACGAACTCGAGGTGTGGCTTCCAAAGACCCACACTACGCTCCACTTGCCGTCACAACTGCTCCGCCATGGGTGTTTGCTTTCTACGCACCTCATGGAAAGAAAACACAAGCTGTTCAAACGATACGCAGATGATCGCCACAATACGCGAGGTTACGAGTTGGGACTTCTTGAAGAGACAACGGTTCACCAATTGTACAAGTTACGTGAGCCTATAGTTGGTGATGGATTGGTGGACCAGCTGGAAGCTAAACAAACACTCAGAGATGCCGTTGCCGCCTGTGGTATGTGTGTGAGCCCCCTTATGCCAATCAAGACTTCAAACTCTGCCCGAGTGCAGAGCAGGGTTGTTGTGGTGGACGATGTCGTTGCATACTTTGGAGCCGATGGTGCAGTATTATATGGTAAGGTTCAGTTTCACATTCAGGTTGGAGAACATGTGTACACGTGCGTAACACAATGGCACGCCTTTGACAGTGATGAGATCAGCGTAAGATGTATAGTCCAGTATGCCCCCACCTTGATCCAGACAAGGCTCATCATCGAGCCGTGCGTGTTTAGGACTGTTCCCGAGGGAACGGCATGCGAGGTTCTCGTTCCAGGTAGGCTCAGGTAGGGGAAGCGTACGGCTGAGTGACATCGATAAGGGCACAGCTTGAACCTATCATTCCTCTATCTCATCCTCCTGTTCTTGGGAGGGCGGTTCCCTTTTGCAAAAATAGGGCCTTCGCTTGAGACGTCCAGCGCCTCCCAAAAAAGGTGAAAACGTGCAGAAGCTTCACGGATGGAGGGCTGAGCCTTTTCAAATACTGAGCTCTCGTTTGCTATGTCTGCCTGCCCCATGTCGACAAGTACGCTTATAACAACGCAGGTTTTCGCAGAACACTTGACATATTCTGGGCCAGATGGGGGCAACATTTGAAAAAAAAACAATAGGATACAATGCAAAATCCCACTTGGTTGATCCCGAATCCTACAGTTAGCAACCTCGCTAACCTAGTTAACCGCAACCACCCTAAACAGGTTAGCTCGTGCAGCTAACCAGGTTAGAAACTCCATGCGAAACCACTTCGTAAGGTGGTTAATTATCCTCATTACATCTAGGTTAGCTAAGCAGCGTACGGCGCTAGCAACCATAACTATCTGAGCTATGTGCTAAGGAACCGCCATGAGCATCCAAGCAGGAGACCCCCAAGATAAACCCAAGACGGCCAAAGAGGCCCGAGGCCCCCCCAGAGGGCCCCAAGAGGCCCAAATCGTTAATTTTACTATGGTTTTGGACACATTTTGCCTTTCCCGCCTTTTCAGCTTTCCGACGCTCCACCGCGGCTCACAGGCCTCCCGCAGACGCCCCAAGACGGCCCAAGAGGCCTCCAAGAGGCCCTCAAGACGGCTCTGGAGGGCGCCAAGGCGGCCCAAGACGCGCCCAAGACGGGCGAAGAGAGGTCCCAGACGGCCCCAAGAGGGCCCCAAGAGGGGAACCGCGAACCGGAAATTCGAGCCGGGCCCCAAGAGGCCCCAGGAGACCCCCAAGATAACCCCAAGACGGCCAAAGAGGCCCCGAAGACGCTCCAAGAGGCCGCCCCCCCAGAGGGCCCCAAGAGGCCAAAATCGCTAATTTCACAAAGGTTTTTGATACATTTTGCCTTTCCAGCCGACGCTCCACGACGGCTCACAGGCCCCCCGCGGACGCCCCAAGACAGCCCAAGAGGCCTCCAAGAGGCCCTCAAGACGGCTCTGGAGGGCCCCAAGACGGCCCAAGACGCGCCCAAGACGGGCGAAGAGAGGCCCAAGATGGCACCAAGAGGGCTCCAAGGGGGGAACCGCGAACCGGAAATTCGAGCCTCCCGCCTCCACAGGGCCCCGGGAGGCCCCAAAGGGGACACAAGAGGCCCCAGGAGACCCCCCAGAGGCACCCAGGAGGCCCGAACGAGGCTTCACGAGGCTCCCAAACAGCCCCGAGGAACCTTACAACGGACGGTGCGGACGAGCCGATTTTCGGACCGCCGCCGCCGCCGGTCCAAGAAAACGGCCTCCTGGACGCCATGCGCGCCGTGGCCCTCCTGCGGTGGCACATCCCGCCCCGGGCCAGCGCAGAGGCCCTCGGATCCCAGAGAGAATTCTCCGTCGTCGGCGGTGTCGCCGTCGTCGGCGTCGTCGTCGTCGACGCCGTCCCCGCCCCGGTCGCCCCTCGGGACCGCGCTCGCCCCTTCGACTTCTCGGCTCGCCTCCCGCCGATGTTCTTGTCGCCCTTCGACTTTCGGAGGCTCCTCCGGGGGTCCTGGGTCCAGTGCTCCGGCCTCTCAAGAGCGCTTCAAGTGGCCGAAATCGGTAATTGTTCAAAGGTTTTGGAGAAATTCTAGACGCTTCGCGTATCCCCACCAGCCCGTCCAGAAACGACGCCCAGGCGAGTAGAGGGTCGTCCTGAGGGGCTTTCGGCGTCTTGGGTGCCTCGGGGGGGCCTCTGTGGGCCGTTCGGGATCCTCTTTGGGGCCTCCTGGGGGCCTCTTGGGGCCTCTTGGGGCCATCTTGGGGCCTTTGGGGGCCTCCTGGGCGCTTCTTGGGGCCATCTTTGCCCCTTGGGTGCCTCTGGGGGGTCTCTTGGGGCCTCTTGGGGGTCTCTTGGGGGGGCCTCCTGGGGGCCTCTTGGGGGGCCTCTTGGGGCCATCTTGGGGCCATCCTGCGGCCTCTTGGGGCATCCTGGGGGCC